GGATTTACCTCAAAACATCTTCTAGCTCTTTCATGGAGGAAAGTAAGAGTTCCACAAATCTCCAAACAATTACGATGGGGCGTACGTATGGCAGAAGCTGTAAATGAAAGAATGTAAACACACAGAATTAGTTGGAGAAAGAACCAAAAGATATAGATGTGAACTGGTGTGTGGGTGCATTAGGGTTTCGAATGATGATTGTACCACAGTTCGTGGTGCTTAAGAGTTTTAGTTTAGGTGATTGCTTGAGGGATATTAAGATTTCCAACGGTTACACAGTGAGTGAGAGGAAGGGATGATGGAATGAGGGAGGGGAAATCAGAATGGTGATGTGTTTTTTTTTGTCTGAAATAAAGCCAGAACGGCGTAAGCTAGTCGGAGAAGGTTTCTTCAGCTCCTTACACCAGGTGACGATTCAGATATCAGAACCCATGAAAAGGATGAAGAAGGAAATCAGAACGACAGAAAAGTTGGCGTTGAAGAAGGATGGAGGTTTAGTCAAAAACTGTATTACATATATGAGTCCATATGAAAATTATCTATAACAAATGGCAAAACATAAGAGTACCCCATCAATAAATCCATGGGAGGCGATTCACATGAAAAAAAATTTGTTTAAAAAAAAAAATTAACGGACCAATCACAGATCACCACGTGGCATTAAAACCGTGAAACAGCTCAGGTGATACAAGTCCATCATAAAGACATTATTATAATATTGTTTTTGAGAAATGTGAGAATACCCCTCATGAACCCCTCTAGTATCTTCAATAGGGGTGCTCTAAGACCTAACAAACATTAAGAGGGTGTTATTGGTTTGTATATTTTAGTGGATTTGAAAATACAAATCAAATATAATGTTATTGGTTCTATGATTTTAAAATCCCTATTCAAATTCATTGTTATTGGTTCTATGATTTTAAAATCTATATTCAAATTCATTGTTATTGGTTCTATGATTTTAAAATAGAGGCGTTATTCAATAATAATGATTTGCTTGAGGATTTGATTTTAAAATAGATTTGAGTGGATTTGTGAGTTAAAAATACAAAGAAGCAAATACTGAGTTGAACCTTGTTATTTTGATAGTGTATTATTGATTTTCTTAATAAGTGTTTTCTTTCCCCAAGTTTTACGTACATATTATCCATGTTTCTCTAATAATAAGCAAATACTAATATATTAACCAACCATCTCTAACTTAGTTTTACGTACACGTAGACGTTAATATAAAAATTTACCAAAGATCTCTCATAAGAGTTTTGGTCTACAAATGTTTTTTGGAGATTCTACTCCATAAATGACAAAGAGTTGTTTACCATCATCATGTTTTTCTGAGAAATGTTAAGAATTTTTGATATATTCAAATCTCGATTTTTTATTTTTAATGTGCATCCCCTTTTGCTTATAAGACACAAACGGAGAGAATATTTGTGTGTTAGTTTACGTGTAGTCTTTTTAAAAAGTTCTGACGAATCGATAGGAATAAAAAAGTTTTGATGAATAAGATCTTGAGGAAGTTACTGGAACTGAAAATTAACAAACAGAATATGCCAATCAAGTGAGAACGGCAATAATAACAAGTATGCGAGAGATTTTATGTTATCATTATAACATAAGACATAGAAAATGATAAACCATATGTTGTAATTTTATATATATTTTCTTTTGTTACAAAGCTGCGTTTATCACAAATCCATTTCGTTGATTTCTAATAATTCAATTATATTGATTTTGAAATCTATTTCATTGATTCTGAAATCTACGTATTTGATTATAAAATGTGTGGATTTGTCAAAAATTTCAAAATCCAAAAAGGATTTCTAAATCTATAAAATCCTGGAACCAATAACCCCTACTTAGTTTTACGTACACGTAGACGTTAATATAAAAATTTACCAAAGATCTCTCATAAGAGTTTTGGTCTACAAATGTTTTTTGGAGATTCTACTCCATAAATGACAAAGAGTTGTTTACCATCATCATGTTTTTCTGAGAAATGTTAAGAATTTTTGATATATTCAAATCTCGATTTTTTATTTTTAATGTGCATCCCCTTTTGCTTATAAGACACAAACGGAGAGAATATTTGTGTGTTAGTTTACGTGTAGTCTTTTTAAAAAGTTCTGACGAATCGATAGGAATAAAAAAGTTTTGATGAAGAAGATCTTGAGGAAGTTACTGGAACTGAAAATTAACAAACAGAATATGCCAATCAAGTGAGAACGGCAATAATAACAAGTATGCGAGAGATTTTATGTTATCATTATAACATAAGACATAGAAAATGATAAACCATATGTTGTAATTTTATATATATTTTCTTTTGTTACAAAGCTGCGTTTATCACAAATCCATTTCGTTGATTTCTAATAATTCAATTATATTGATTTTGAAATCTATTTCATTGATTCTGAAATCTACGTATTTGATTATAAAATGTGTGGATTTGTCAAAAATTTCAAAATCCAAAAAGGATTTCTAAATCTATAAAATCCTGGAACCAATAACCCCTACTAAGTCTTAAAGTGTTTGGAGATTGAGAATTTGTTGACATGCCACGCGGCATAATTCGCCCCACTCCTTCTCGATGATGTGGAGGACTGAGAAGAGATAGAAGTCTTTTTTATTATATAAGAAGTTTGTTTTTTTTTTTTTTTTGCTAAAATTTAACATATTATTAACGTAGTGTAAAAATATTTGGGTGGACTAACTCAAAATTGTTGTAGTAGGATAACTGAAAATTTTCTTATAAATAACTGATAATAAAATAGTCTCCACTATATTAAAGTCGTCATTCCGACTATATCTATCCACAATACGTATTATACTGGTTTAAACAAATATTAGATTTTGAATCCCGCACATTTGTGCGGGTAATTTTTTCATTTTATACAAATATAACAAAAAAATTCAAATATATGATTTACATATTATTTTTATATATAATCTTATTATTTTAATTATTTTTATATAGTATATTGTTGTAAATGTTTTTAAAATATCATATATATATTTTTAGATAATGTATTTGTTGTGAGTTACAAAAATATATATTAACATTTTTTGTATAAAAATATTACATGATTTAAAAAAATTAATATGTTTTAACAGTTAATAAACGAAATTTGTAAAATAAAATATTTTTCGTTACCAATTTAATATATTTTTATATTCACTTCACATAGCATTTTTATTTTAATATAATATAGTATATCATTAAATTATAAACTATACCAATTTTATTTTTAATTAAAATTAATATATATATATATATATTAATCACGAAATTAAATAATATATATTTTATAAAAATATTTAAACTTCTTGGTAAGATCATGTTAGGTATTTTTCAACAGATTTTGTTATAAATGAAATTAAAATATAAATTTATAGTTAAATTGATTTATTACTAATATCTTATTAATTATTAAAATATTTCTTGAATAATATATATTTGATTGATTAATATAAATAATCAAATATACCATATTAATGAAATGGTTCAATATGACTTTTGTGTAGTAGATATAAATGATACTTTTCTTTTAATATAGAAGATTTTTGTTCATTATTATTATTATTTTTCTTTTTTTGTGCCATAATTAACTGAGGGAGTTTATCAAATATAATAGCAAGCTAATCCAAAAACATAGGTTCTCTCGGACAGTAGTAGAAACTGAAACTCAAAGCATTGTTTAAAGATGAACCAAAAAAGTTAAAGTAAAGAAGTGAAGCTCTTAAGCAGCACCCTTTCCCTTCTGGTATAACTCTAACTCTTTGCCTATAGGTCCTCACCAAAAACCGCCTGGACTGCCCTGAGCCCCTGACCTTGGAACCTTGTGCATCAAAGTTCAAACCCTGCTTCCCGATAGTGGGCCTCTTTCACTTGCCGTTTTTGATTATTGTCTTTCTTCTTTCATGGTGACTAACCAATTACTCGATGAGTTTCTAGGTGCTGAGAAAGTGGTTGGTTGGGCCTTTAGGCACCATCTTATGAACTGTTCAGAACCTATGTGAAAGATAACCAGCTTGTTATCTCAGCAGAAAGGTTAGCTTCCTTGTATATTCGCTGTAAGCTAAAATACAGATTAAATTTGAAAATAACACTTTAGCATGTCTTGCAGCATTATTTAGATAAACAACATTATCCGACCATGTCTGATTTATTTACATGGGAAAATATTACACCTCTAGTCCTAATTTACTTTGCTATTACTGAATCTTCTCAGTTCTTTATCATAAACCATCCACAAGCTACTTCCCTCAACAATATTTTGCGTGTTTTTTCTCGGTGACCAAACAGTTCCCCCCATATTATGTCCTGCGGCGGAGGACGGACGCCTGAAGTATGGGAGAAGGAGGAGCAACACCTGATAATCGCCACCATCTCTGAGCAGGATGTTAAAACCCGCTGATGACGTTTTGAGTTATTTATTTATTTTATTTATCCAAAAAATTAAAATAATAATATTCAATGTTCATTATGAGCGGTGTGATTGCCCCCTTTGTTTCAGTGAATTACACTTTTGCCATTTCATACACTTTAGGAGTTGAAAACTCTGCTTTTAAGCAGCTTTGCTTTTACTTTGTTCCTGTGTAGTGGTGTGGTGCCGCCGGAGGATTCTTATAAAGTTTTAGATTTTTGACGAGCAAAGACAATTGCATCAAAAGGTGTATGAATTACCAAACGTGAAGAAGGTGCGTAAAAACAGAACATAACTCATCATTGATTCTTATAATGCTTCTTCTCTTGTCTTTCTGCCATTTTTATGCACTAAACACAGCTTTGTTAGGAAGAACAGAACGTAACTCATCACTTTTCAGACAACATACTGATCAAAATATGTTTTAGGTACAGAAAAAATGATCAAGGTTTGAGTATATATATGTCCACTACTGACAGTTCAACTGATTCAGTTTCTGAGACCAGATCTTTCAGCTTAGGATCAGAGCATAGATTTAAGTCTCTCATTTTCAGTACTAACAGGTTTCTTGTAATGTCACCAATGGTGGGACAACCAGAATATGGTCAGAACGAAGAAAATAAGAGTCTAAGGAAATCTCTCAAGGTTAATATTATGTATTTTTTTCTATTCTCCTAAGCGACTCCGCAAGTTTCAAATCCTAAGAGTTGTTTTGCATTAAAAAAAAAAAGAGTGGTTTTGCAATGCTGTTTCAGGATGTTGTTACCAAGAACGAGTTTGAGGAAAAAACTCTTATCAGATGTCATTCCCCCAAACGATATAGGCGGATCGTTTGATGATACTGGAGCTCTAGAGAATGTGAAAGAAAGATTGAAAGAGTTGGTGATGTCTTCCTCTTCAAAGACCAGAATTATTTGACAAATTCCAGCTAACCAAGGTACCTTTCATCGCAATGTCAAAAAGTACGTGTAGCAGCTTGAGCAATGGGGATAAGCCTGTGCCTCGACCATATCTTGGGATCCGTTGTTTGTGCGAGCAAAAAAAACGTAAGTAAGATACTACAGATTGTGTATGGGATTAGGGTTATATAAACGGAAGTTGGTCTTTATTAGGCTTTGATTGAGGCATGGTGTAATATTTGGGCCTCAGTTTTACACCCCTAGCACCAACAAAGAACCAGCACAAAAGCAAAGAAAGAAAAGGAAAGTTAGTATCCTTTTGTCTCACTCAAGGTCGGTCAATATTGTTTCCAAATTAATATGGAAAAGGAAAATATATGGCTTGAGTTACAAGATATGATCTAGTATAAAAGGGAGAGAGGGTGTTTAAAAAAAATACGTTTGATTTTATTGTTGTTATAGAGCACAAATTGTGGATTCAAATCCCAACACATGGAGCTCGATGATGATTACGTGGAGTATGTTCCAGTGGCGAAGCGTAGAGCGATGCAAGAGCGGAAGGGAAAGGTGTTGGAGGAGTTAGAGGACAAGGAGAAGCTCGCATCTAGCTTACTCGTTAAAGCAACTCAGCAGCTGAAGAGGAGGAGAGATGTTAGTGCTACCGAGAAAATTATATTACAAGAGAAAGAGATGATGGAGCAATTATCTTCTGATAAAAAGACGCTTACGTCTGTTCGTGAATTGGCCAAGGGGATCACTTATGCAGAGCCTCTGTTCACAGGTTGGGAACCACACGCAAGGAGCATCATGTCGAGCAAACAGATTGATTTGATTAGGAAGCAATGTCATATTACAGTTAGTGGCAAAGATATTCCTCCGCCCATCAAGAATTTCAAGGACATGAACATTCCGAGAGCCCTTCTCGTTACGCTCAAGGAGAAAGGGATAGTGAAGCCAACTCCGATCCAAGTTCAAGGTCTTCCTGTGATTTTGTCAGGAAGAGATATGATCGGGATTGCCTCCACTGGTTCTGGAAAGACGTTGGTTTTCGTGCTTCCCATGATCATGATAGCTCTGCGGGAGGAGATGGCGATGCCTATCGCTGCTGGAGAAGGTCCCATTGGTCTTATTGTTTGCCCCTCTAGAGAGCTTGCTAGGCAGACTTACCAAGTGGTTGAACAGTTTGCGGCTTCGGGTCCATTGAGGTCTTTGCTATGCATCGGAGGAGTGGATATGAGATCCCAGCTGGATCTTGTCAAGAGAAGAGGTGTTCACATCGTTGTTGCAACCCCTGGAAGGTTGAAGGATATGCTCGCCAGGAAAAAGTTTAGCTTAGATGCCTGCAGGTACCTGACCCTGGACGAGGCAGATAGGTTGGTTGATTTGGGTTTCGAAGATGACATTAAGGAAATCTTTGACCATTTTAAGTCTCAACGTCAGACACTAATGTTTTCCGCCACAATGCCCGCCAAAATTCAAAACTTTGCCGAAAGAGCTCTGGTGAGACCTGTGACAGTTAACGTAGGGGGAAGAGCTGGAGCTGCGAATCTCGATGTCATCCAGGAGATTGAATACGTCAAACAAGAAGCAAAGATTGTTTACCTCCTCGAGTGCCTGCAGAAAACATCTCCACCGGTTATAATATTCTGTGAGAAGAAAGCTGATGTTGATGATATCCACGAGTACTTGTTACTGAAAGGTGTTGAAGCTGTGGCAATACATGGTGGGAAAGATCAGGAGGACAGAGAGTATGCAATCTCTTCCTTCAAAGCTGGGAAGAAAGACGTCTTAGTCGCTACTGACGTTGCCTCAAAGGGTTTGGATTTCCCAGATATAAAACACGTGATAAACTACGACATGCCTGCGGAGATTGAGAACTATGTGCATAGGATAGGAAGAACAGGTCGGTGTGGGAAAACGGGGATAGCAACTACGTTTATAAACAAGAACCAAAGCGAAACAACGCTGCTTGATCTGAAACACTTGTTGCGAGAAGCTAAACAGAGGATTCCCCCTGTCCTTGCTGAGCTGAATGATCCAACAACAATGGAAGAAGATGCAGAGACCATCGCTGGTGTCAAAGGTTGTGCTTATTGTGGCGGCCTCGGACATCGTATTCGAGACTGTCCTAAACTAGAGCACCACAAGAGTGTGTCAATATCTAATTCTAGAAAAGACTACTTTGGCTCTGGTGGTGGTTACAGAGCCGAGATATAATCAGTAGATTCCTTTTTGCTGCAAGTTCCTCCGATCTTTGAGATTTGTTTGCTCCATCTTTGTCCTTCTACTTTTGGCTAAGAGGAAACTCAAGTGTAATATTCTTTTTGTCTAATGTAATTTGAAGTTTGACTATAACTATATTTCCTATAAAAATCAAAGCACTACAACACCATCGGACTCTTGTCTCATTCTTATACGTTTGTAACATGAGAATATTCATGGGGACACAAGTTGTGTTATTAGCAGCCTTATTACTTTTTTTTTTTTTTTTTTTTAGCCTTATTACTTAAGAATCCGGATCTTGTATATGCCTTGACTTCTGGTACGCCTGGTAATTTAGCCGGCCAAGATAAGGTAAAACTGCTTGATGTGACTAAAACTGGTGCACCAAATTTAAGCAGTAGCTCATACAAGGAGGTTGAAGTTTCTCTTCCATCAACCAATCCTGGAATGGTGCGTTTTCCAAATCTACTATGCAGCCTCAAAGTCCATAGACACACCTTGGACGTTAGTGAATCAGATAATAGTAATTTAAATATATTTACACGTAGTTAATTGAAAAGAAACCATATAAATACAAGCTATAGCTAGCTCTGTCGTAAGAGTCTTAATTGTTGGACCAACCTGACCAGCACGTTGTAGCATTACGCGACATTGGTGTTCTGAAATGAGTGTTTTCGTTCCAATTTTGCAGAGTAGGTTGGAACAAGAAGTGATTCGAAATCTATTTTCGAGCCAAAACCAAGTTGGTAGTGTGAAGCAACTACAACCTCATGACGTCTCCTTGAACTGTGATGTTCAATCCTATTACACTGTGTAATACACACCCAGAACTCATTGTAGAGAAGTTGAAAACAGAGAACACAAGTTCCAGGAAACAAAGTAAAGAATAGAACACTAGAAATGAGAAGCAAGACACAGAACAAATGTTAACCCAGTTACACCCGTTCACGAAGGTATTTGTGTGGCTCGGGATCTCTCTCCCAGAATCCACCAGATCAGAGTATTCACACAACCCCACAACCCTTTACAACGGTTATCTTGGTTTCACTCTCTACTTCTTCCCAAGAACAAAATGAAAGTTTATGATGTGTACAATGTTCATAATTACAGTTTACTAAGTTAATAAATACCTTGACCTCAAATTATCAGCATTGGCTGACAAAAGATACCTAAAAGGTACTCTCTCCGTTTCTATTTAGTTGTTGTTGTAGAGTAAAATTTTCGTTTCAAAATAAGCGTAGTTTTATAATTTCAATGCAAAATTTACTAATTTTATCTACTAATCTATTTTTTTTATTAGTTGAAATGTGGTTAGGTGTATAGGTAATTGTGTTTTTTTCTAGAAAATATGCAAAATTAAATGTTTTCTTAATCTGTGTACAAAAACCCAAAACGACAACTAAATTGAAACGGATGAGATATTAGGAAAAAAGTTTTTTTTGGCTAAAACGACAACTAAAATGAAACAAAATGATTATATGATACTGATGGTGAATTTGTTTTGGTGTTTGATTTGTATGCACCATTACCAATATCTATATTGAAGAATAAGAAAATCTTCAAAATATTTAATGTTGAGGAACTAGTGAGGAGTAGGGGGTTCCGCTGATCCCACAACCTTTTCTAAAAATATTTGTTTTCATTTTAATAAAAATTAACCCGTTCTACGGGCTGGTATGCAAATAAAAAGAATTTCATAAATATAACTTAATTTTTAATATAATCTTAATAAATTATTTACAAATTCTTAGTTCGTCTTCATCGAATATATCATTAAATTTCAATTATTTCTATTACAACTTTTACTACTTATTTCATTAACAGTTTTAAATTATATATATATTTACCACCGAAATATTTTTGTTATCAATATTTATCTTACTTTCACTTTCATAGTACATATTTTTTAAAGTAAATATAGTTATTTAAAAAATGATAGTCGATTTTGTTCAACACAAAAAAAACTCAGCGATTACATATTATAGATTCCTTTAAAAGTTGACAAAAAAAATTCCTTTAAAATAGTTTTATACAATGATTGAACGTCTAAAATAATATAATATATGGATAATTTCAGGTTGTTTCTTGTTATATTTCCTTTTGAACAATATTTTGTGATATAAATTTAAGGAGGTCGATATATTATATACAAGTTTATTGTTAATTTTATATGCATTTGTTTATAAGATATTACTCATATTTTTATAGATCCAATAAGTTTATGTATAGCTTGGATAAATTATATATAATTTAATCGTTAATTTTCTATGACAAAAATATTTATAAAATATTGTTCAATAAGTAAATTTTTACTTAAGAGTTTTGTTGGTTAAATCTGTTACATACAATTTTTAGTACATAATATTTATTGTAACATATTTTAAGTAATCATTTAGATATTTTTGATCATTTTCATTTTTTATAAACCTTTTATATTTTTAAACTTGACACTGATTTATTTGTATCAAATTTAAGTTAGACGTTTCATAATTGTATTGGATAGTTTCTTCCTGATATGTGTGTTAATTTGATAAGATATATACAGCTATGATTATTTGTTGATGACAAAAAAAAACTATTTGTGAACCAAAGCTTTCAAAATTTGAGCGTCACAATTTTTTTTTGAAAATCTGATATCCAAGTAAATAACAGAATTCGTTTACGCACCAAAACACAATCACCACAGAAAAAGTACGTTGTAGAATGAGGCAAGTTGTCTCCTCTTCCTACTTTCATAAATCAGGATCATGAGCTCTTTACTCTAACAAGAAACCTCACATTGATTTCATGGTTACTACCACAAGCCAGAGCTTCTCCTTTAAGTGCATCTATCATCTGACAATGAATCATCTTTTTAGTGGGTCTATCAGTCTGTAAATACCCATATGGATGTACCTGTTATACACCACCACCAATGAAAATTAGTTTAAACTTGCAAACCCAAAAAACTACAAACGTTGTCAATAATAAAGCATTTGTTTCAATAATAAAGCATTTCAATTCCTGTTTCTTCTAAAAACAAACAACACAAACCCTTAACGTCGGGTCTGAAAATTCATTTATTTCACACAACTCGTGAAACAGCCGAACTAAATCATACTCAACCCAATGAGCAAAAAAAAAATTCATGGTGAAGAACTGATGCTTTGATGATACAGAAAACTTGATCTCATGTCTGAGCATGTCTGAACTGATGCTAAATAATTTATATTATACGATCTCTGTTCTCTGAAATCTTTGGAGGTTTATTTGCCCACCTCAAAGGTGCCTAAACACCACGTGAGGAACACAATTCTACTTAGATAAGGAGTCTGCCATAGGACAGACCATATTTATCCTTTACTAAAACAACACACAGAAACAAAAAAGCTTTAATATTTACTGCAAGAAGAAAGCTATATATTCAAAAACCAATGCTTACGCACGTGACGCAATTAAACATCTAGCAAACACATTCAACCGAATCCAGGATCAGATAAGAGAATTTTTAAAAAGAACCTAGTAAGACGAGTGCAGAGAAGCTGCTTAAAACACTCTTGGCACTTCTCGACAGTAGCTGGCTCCTGGATATACGGATTGTTCTTCTCCTGCACCTGTTTTTAGTAAGCAGTGTCGTGCTTGGACACAAACTTTGATGCTTCACAGGCCTTTGACGCTGTAACAACTTGGATGCCATCTTTCAAAATTGTATGTTTCCTGAGCCAAAAGACGTTAAGATATTAGATGTTAAATCCGATTCCCTTATCAAATGCTAGCAAAAGGTTTAAGCTTTAGTACCCGGACCACCAATTCAATGTCGACAAAACATTAATTAATCATTGAAAGTTTAGATCTTTTTCAATATAGTCCGACCTCTGAACATTGCATTATTCGCTCGTGTTGAACAAAAAAAAAAGCATTATTCGCTCGTAAGCTCATACGAAAGCGCATATCTAATCAGTCAGATTCCCCAAGAGAGTAAAAGAAAAGATGAAACTTTGAATCAAAAAGGGAAAGAGTGTTGACGGTTTCAAACCTTGCTCTAACAACAGAGATTTTACTGGTGGTTTATTTGTGTTAGCAAGTGACATCAGCTCTGGCAGAAGCACTTGAGGACTGACCATGATAGTAGAGACTGTCAGAGATAGATTATTATATGGAAAATCAAGCCATATGAATTGCAGAGACGGCTACTCTACTGTTACAAAAACACATTTAAAATATTAAAACTGGAGTACAAAGAAATATTGAACCTTATTTTTCCTAAATATTTACAAGAGATGCCATTGGGATAAAACACGGTAGTTTTATCTCTTTAATAAACCTGCTCTCTTGATAAAAAAAAAAACCTGCTTAAAACTTACGAGTTGCGACGTTTCCGCACATGATAGCTGCGTTCGTCGAGCTCTACTATAACTTTAACGCTGGCATATGTGAATTATCTCTCTCTCAAGTCACAAAGTTGATTCCTTTTTATGTGACTCTCTCTCTCTCTCTCTCTCTCTCTCTCTCTCTCAGAGAGAGAGAGAGAGAGAGAGAGAGAGAGAGAGAGAGAGAGAGAGAGACTCTCTCTCTCTCTCGTGCTCTCTCTCTCTCAAGTCACGAAGTTGATTCCTTTGTATGTGATTTGGGGTTTTGAAGATGATCCATCTGGTGATCCAAAAAGCAGCTGTAGATCCTTACTGTACTTTGTTCGTGGGTCGAATTTCTCATCTTACGTTGGACGAGACTCTTTGTGAGGTAAGATTATGTGTTGTATACGTAAAGGTTTCTTCTTTAGAGGCTATGAGTAAATACAGCAAAGTTAAGAGCCTGCGGTTGGTCAGACGCATTGGTAAAGGCTTTGTAATTGCTCTTCTTTATGATCTTATTACTTTTGTTGGTTTATACACATATATTTCTTAGCTGTTACTTATACATTATGTTGTTACGTTTTGTTTAGTGACTGGATGCTTCACGAGGATATGCTTTTGTGGAGTATGAGACTTGAGAAGATGTGTTGTGCTTACGGGGTACTACGGTGTGCTAACTTTTTTTTTGTTCTTTAAAGCTGTTTGAAATGTTCTGTTTCCACATGGAGTTTAGTTGTCAGAAAAGAATGTTCTTTTTTGGTGGTTTTTAGGCAGCAATTGATGTCTGGATGGATACCAAGAAGATTAAGTGAGTGCCATTCTCTTACTCTTTCCTAGGAGTTAGATCTTCATCATCTCTTAGAATAATTCTTCTTCTTCTTCTCTGGGAAAATGAGGTGGAGTTGGTGGTAGGAAAGAATCTGGAAAACATTGTTTTGGAGGACGAGACAAACCTTTCCGTGTTCCCTTGTAACGTTTTTCTTTGCTCTTCTCCTTTAGCATTCTCCAAACAACTATAACCATCAGATTATAGTTGTTATGATTTATGAACCTTCAAAACCATATTTAACTGTGTATTCTTTTCGTTGTAATATCATGCGGCCGATTTCTCATGAAGATTTGAAAAGCTTGTGATCCATCATCCAGCTTCCACCAGAGAAAAGATACATGTCACGTACTCAAGTCCACTACCATTTCTTTATATCTATTAATACTTTATCTCTGTTTTGTTCTGTCATGCTTCTTGTGCCAGAAGTGGCATAATTGACGTGTTGTTCAATGTGTCTAGAGAAAAAACTTATGAGTTGAATACTAAATCTTTGGCACATGAAATTTGCTTGCTTTGTTGGATGTAACGAAAGTGTATCCTATAGAGAGGAAGCAAACTATCGAGTTGTGTAGAAAGAGAAGAAGAGGCATTCCCTTCCATACCAAATATTCTTCGGTTAATCTTGGTCTACAGAATTTAAACCAGTGGATGAGATATATACAAAAATCATTAGATTACATTAAAAACAAAATGTGTAAATACTTAACCGCATAATTATGATACATTATATATCATGATTAATAAAAACTGTAGTTATCAAAAAAAAGTTATGTGTAGACATGCTATATCAAAAATAAAAATAAAAATAGTTTAGAAGATCTATACAAAAATATAATATATTGATGATACAAATACAATAAATGTTGTGTAGACATGTTATATATAACATATATGTAATATGGTAAATGTTATATATCTATAGTATTAAATATATGTAAACTATTTATTTATATAAAAAATTACACCCGTGCGGACGCACGGGTCAAAAGCTAGTCTAAACTATTAAAGCTGAAGTACATTTTGTACTTAGCCCTAAGTTTTCCTCAATATTTACCAAGATATGCCACTGGAATTAAAACTTAACATTTTGCTTCTTTAACTAACCAAAAATCACGTCTGCCTAATAATTATTAACCCGTGCAATTAAACCGCACCCAAAATTACGTCCGCCTATCTACTCTATTAAAATAGAGTCATTCTTTTTATCTACTGATACAAGTTGTCATTTAAATTTGAACTCTTTCTAAAATGTTACAAATAATATAAGTTATATAATTGATTGAACCGTATTACTTAAATTAAACCAACAAAATTAATGTAAAAAGACGACCTTAATGTAAACTACCTTCAAAATACGGCAGATATCTATGTGTATACCAAAAACACATATTTTCTCCTACAAATATGGAATGTTCTAAAAGAATATATATCATCAAAATATGGAATATGAAAATCTACTAATTATACTTAAATTAAACCAGTGGTTTTTTTTAATGAAATATAGTTTTGGGCTTACATTTATTTTTTGAACAAATTATATAGTTTGGTTTTTGCGCTTAGTACTAAGAAAAAACTCCAAAAACATTGAATAAACTTTTCACCTTAAAAGATCAAAAAATCAATTATTATTTTCAGACCCAAAAGGTATTTAATATTTTTAACCAAACAAAATTATCCATTATTAATCATTTATTTAAATCATGTACTTTAAAACATGTTAATATATTTTTTATTTTAAATAACAATCACTTTGTTTTGATAAATTTCAATGGTAACTTTTAAATAATTTATTGTTTTATTTTTTTTAAATAATTTACTGATTAAAAAAATGTAAAGCAAAACAAAAACCAAATCTAAAAAATAAAATCCAAAACCAAAAGCTGAAAACACATATTATATTTTTTTGCTTTGTTTATTTACAAAATAAACAATTTCAATTTTTTTTTTAAATTTGTTTTCATCTTTTCAGTTTTAAATTAGATGTTCGATTATTTGAGATTTGTTTGTTGGTAATATTTGTTCAAACTAACTCAGTGGGTTTAAAAATTAAAAACCCAAACCAAAAAACTGAAAATGAAAAGTAGAAACTTAAAAACTAAAAACCAAAATCCAAAATCTAAAAATAAAAACTGAAACTNAAAATATTATTTAAATTATGACAAAACCCAATTATATAAATTTTTAATCATAAAAAATTTCCGCGCTTTTAAGCGCGGGTCAAAATCTAGTTAATTATTAACCCATACAATTGCTAAACCATTCCTTAACCACATGCAACCACTTATCTACATATCATTATAACATTTACTAAGACACATATGTTTTTGTCCGCCTATGAATTATTAACCCATACAATTGCTAAACCATTCCTTAACCACATGCAACCACTTATCTACATTTCATTACAACATTTACTAACACACATACATTTTTGTCTTCTTGCTAAACCATCGATTACAAACATTACTAAAACCTGCATTTCAAAACACTAAACATATAATTGCTGGTTACCTGCATACCGTTTTATATCATTCATAAACTTTAGAATGCCATTTTTATAATAACTTAGTTCATCCCATCATATTATTGGCTTTGGTCCGCAAATATATGTCATACTAAAATCATAGTTTATATCAATATTTCTAGAAATCATGTAATTCGACTTTGATACTAACTTCTAAACAATTTTTCTCAATATCAATGGTTTAATTCAAAGTAAAAACCAAGCATTTATTATTTTCCAAAAAAGTTACCTTAACATATGTATTCCTATATTTAAGCTAATTATATATCAGTTAACCCCCCCCCTCCACACATAATCCTTTTTGGCTTTATGATCTTGCAAATCACGTTCAAAATTTTTTTATCAACCTCAACATAATAACCTTCCATGATATATCTAATCTATTAAAAGGGATGTACAAAAAAATAAAATCTTTGGTTTTCCTAAAAATTTACAATAGAATGTCATTGCAATTAAAACACTGTAATTTTACTCTTATATGAACTTTGATATAGGCTGAAAGGTCCACTACTTTTAAATCAAAAACAAATTGCTAATTAAATTTAAAAAAATAGCATTTGTTAATAAAATAGTTAAAACTCTTATTTTTGTGTGAATTTTTTAGTTGTTTCTGTCTAAATAATTTATTTTTTAAAAAAATATCTATAAAATCTAATTTTAAATTATAATTTCAATTACAAAATTTATAGTATAATTTAATAAAACACACACAATCTAAATAAGATACTCTAATATTTTACACTTAATTGTTTAGTTTACCAAATAAAAAAAGTACAATATATAAAAAATACAACTTGATAGATAGAAAAAGACACTAAACAAAATGAACAAGATACACCGACATCAAAACTCAATAACCTATGAAACATAAATAGGAATTTTTTTTACGACTAATACAAACATATATTTATACAAAACATATATCCGCGCGGACGCGCGGGTC